CCGGCCCGGCATGCCCCGCGCCGCGGGGCGCGCTGGGAGCTGTAGTGCCCGGCGGGGCGCGGCGCACGGCGCGCCGGGAGGTGTAGGCGGGGCGGGGCATTGTGGGAGGTGCCCCCTCGGCCAGCGCGCTGCCTGCTGGGAGCTGTAGTCAAGGCACAAGGAGACCCCTCCCGCRCAGCCTCTAACGGCAAGAGATTAATATCGCCCCGCGGAGGCAACTTCCAGGCTCGTCCCACGGAAAACGGGCACGTCCTCCTCCGTGATTCTTTAAAGGAATCTGCAGCCCTGCCCGGCTGCACCTCCAGCCTCCCCTCACGGGCTCCAGCCTCCAACCGTGCGGGCGGCCCCCGCTGAAGGCGCTCCAGGTTATCCACGTCCCTCGTGGCGTCCCTGCGGAGAAGCCAGCGGCAGGCAGCAACGGGAACAGCCACGCGCCCCACGGCCCCGCTCGCTGAGAGCGCCCAGCGCGGCCCCGGCCTCGCGGCTGCCGGGCTGCACGCCCTGCCCRCCCCAACGCCGCCCCCAGCGTGCGCAACGCGCCCGTCGCCCCCGCTCCGCGTCCCACGGGGCCCGCCAGGGCCACGGGCGGGACCTGGCGCCTGCCACGGCCCCGCTGCTGCGTGGGACCTGCCTGGCGGACAAAACACAGCGCGTGGGACTCGCCGCCCGAACCCCTCCAGCTGCTGTACCATCAAACAGCGTTGCCGCTTTTAATGGCAGAGCTTAACTGCTGGAGTTTGCTGCCCTCTGCAGACTATTTTTGTTATAGCTTCAAGGAATGTTTTCTTGTGGATAACACGGCCTGGATGCGTTAGTGGTATTTAAGGGAAGCTCTAGTACAGTTATTTCATATTAAGAACACAAGGTAAAACATTCACAGCTATATTGTACTGTGCAAAATATGAGTTGGAGTGGGTAATGGATAGAAAACTTTACATTGAATTTGAGRACACGTCAATAGTAAATAAGCTAATTCAGTATTAGTAATTAGTATTAGTAATCAGTATTAGCTTTAAATAWGGAAAGACAGGAAATACTGGCCAGTAACCACAGAAACAGTGCAGAATTCTACAAGGAACCTAAACGTAGCCTTCAAGCAAACCCATTTGGCAGCTGGAATAGACACATCGTGGAGCGTGCGCTGGGAAGGGCTGGGAAGTTCCTACCCGCTCTATCCCTTCGCTCCTTAACGGGGGTTCCCATCCCGTTACAGCCGTGGGGGCGGCCGGTAAGAACCGYGCCCGTTCTTCATCTGAACCGTCGCACTATTCTCAATATCGTTGAAAATGGGTTTCCTTGCGTAATGACGGAATAATTCCTGTGAAATCTCGTGATTTTACGGATTGTAATTTATCCAAATCGATAGTTTATTTAAGATGTGAAACGTACTCGTCTGGGGCCGCCTGTCAGCTTCTGCCCCRCCGAGAATTTGCAGGAGCATCTCAGCAAGCTTGTGGGCTACGCACATATGGGCGCAGAGGAGATTTGTGACAGGGTTTGCACCTTGGGCGGCAAGGCTGCCAGGCTCTACGAACTGAGACAACTACGAGCACAGCTTTAAGCGTTAACGGCTTCGTTAGCCTGATGGTTGGTTTTAGCAAACGGCTGGCAAAGGGGAGGAGCCCACAAAGGGAGATGGAGCGGGGTAGGCGAGGAGCAGGCCGCGGATAACGGCGGAGGGCTGGAGGAGACGGGGCAGGGGCAAAGCCGCCGCCGGCACCAAGGCCGCCGCCCAACGGCCGCCGCCCAACGGCCGCCCGCGCGCCGCCC